GCAGGACAGAAACGTCTCTGGTTGCAGGGTGGTTTTGGATAACGAGATGTGGTGGAGCTGTGTGTGAAAGTGGGGGCAGCGTATGTGCCCTGCAAAAGGAAGACAAGGCTATTCCTCACCTGAAGGACCCGTGGCTTTGTCACTACTGTGTCATACATCCACTCTCGAATATCTAGTTATTCATGTGCTTGTGCTGAGACGGATCTTGCCTAGCTGGTTTGTTGGCTTGCTTGTGAAGCCAGCCCTGCTCAGGCTGCATCAACACCGGGTGAGTCAGGGGAGGGCTCCTTGCACGGGGGCGCTCGGCAGGCACGAGTGCCGTTGCTGCCGTATGAGATGGTGCCCCGCATGCACCAGAAATAGGGCCGGGCTGGTCTCACCACGCAGACGTGAATGTGATGTGCTCCATCCTCACGTGATGGAGGGCTTTTTCTGCGGCAGAGCCTTCCCCCTCACCTGCTGCTGTTCCCATAGGAAAGGAGAAATGTGTGTTAGGGAAAGAGTAGAGCATGTTTCTGAGCAGATGGCTTTGATTGGAAGGGGGATGGATTTTTATTTTTTTTTTTTTCCCCCTCTCCTCAGCTTCTATTAAGAAAGCGATGAGAAGGAAGCCTTATGTCCGCACTCTGATCTCCTTTCAAAAAGCATGTGAAAGCTGAAGTGAAAGCATTGCCCTGCAGCGGGGATGGTGCTGTGACCAGCCTAAAGCAGTGAGCCCCAATGCCTTGTTTCGACCCCATCCCTTAGCTGGGGCTTAGTGCCTTTATTTGAGCACCATCCTTAGGTGCTCTGTTACCCCACTGCTACCCAAAGACCCAAGGAAATGTTAGGAAAAAGGCAACTTAAGTGCTCAATTGCAATAGCTACCGACAGGTTTTATGGTTCAGATAAAAACTGGATCTTTCCCAAGAGCTCTTCCCCCGTAGCAGAAGCGCAAGGAATTCAGCTTCGGGCAGAGGCGGTGAGCCCACCGCAGCTCGGTGTCTGTTCAAGGAGCAAGGTCTGGGGCAGTGTAGCTTCGTGCCCTTTCCCTGGCCGGGAGGGCAGGGAGAGGCAGCGTTAACAAAGAGCGGCTGAAGACACTGCTCGGCCCTAGGAGGTGGTCAGGCCCCTCCCAGCTGGTGCTGTTTGCCTGGGGACCTCACCACTGCTGTTTAATTACCAGGTTGTTTATTTGAGTGACCCACATCTTTGGATGTCTTTTCCCTCTGGTTGTTTTTGTGCAGCTGTCTAAATTTGTAGGTCCCTAAGCTGTCCCTTTCAAGTCTTTCTCTACAGCAGTTACTCTCTCGGTATGTCCTGTGACCCCTCAGGTGCATCCAGAAACATCATCTGTAAAACTGCTCTGCTTTGCTTCGTAGCAGTCTTCAAGTTAGTCACTTGCCAACCAGATCGCCTGTACCACAACCAGCGTACGCAGGGATGGAGGAAAGGGGACGCCTTGTCTCGTCTTCCTCGCTGCCAAGGAGGGCGTGCAAGGGGATGCTTCTCGATGCTTCTGCTCCTTGCCTGTTGAGTTTCCAAGGCTGATGGGGGAGGTGGTCTCTTGCTTCTCGTCTGCAGCCTCTCTGTTTGCTGCCGTGTTTGGCTGGAGGTCCTGCTGCACTGCTGCAGTTTGCCATCGCTGGTTTGGCCGAGCAGTTCTGCTTTAAACTCCTGCAGCTCCTGTAAGGACAGGACCTCTGTAAATACCCGACAGCATCTAACCTTCCCTTCTTGAGCGTACAAGAAACAGTTGCTGGGTGCACCTGTGTTCGGTAAAACCTCGGGGGGAGCAGCACTGATGTGGTGGCACCTTCTGAGCGTAGACACGGGAGCTACAGATGTTCAGCACAGCCTTGAGATTGCAGCTGAGTGCTCATCACGGCGTTGCTGCAGTGTGTCAGGGCTCTCTTTGGCATCAGTGGGGGGGGAAATGCTGATCCTGGTGCTGCTTTGCTGCTGCCTCCTCCGCCCTGCCGGTCCATGTGCTGCCGGGTGTGTTCCTGCTGTCTGCCGGAGCAGCGTTGTCCCTGTCGGTGGTAGACACGAGCTGTCTGGCTGGGCTGGCCTGCTGTTTCAGAGGCTGCACGCCAGTGGAAACTGCTGTTTATTTTCTGGCATGACTGTATTAATTGGAATAATGTTTTCTTTTGAGGCTTTAGCACTCTGATGCGAGGGGGATTGAAGCAAAATGTTCTAAGTGCAGCCTTGCCATCACATCCCTGTAGTGACTGCAGAATTGATCTGCAGGGAATGCTTCAGCTGGACCACACTGGTCGTGCTGCTAGAAATCTCTTTCGATGGCTTGCAGAGTGGAGAGTGGTTGTTGCAGCAGTTCCCTGTGTCTGCCAGCACTTGCATCAGTGTACTTTAGGGATGCTCGCTTCCCTGTCATCAGGGATGCAAAACTGATCTCATCAGAGCAGGCTTTGGCTGAGAAACAACTTCAGCATCTCTTATTTCTCCGTTGTTTACTCCTTTGTGTGAAAAACATTTCCAAATGTACAGTGTTGTACCTCCATCTCTGCTTGATGTGGGACTAACTAGCTGTGGCTTAAACTTAAAACCCAAAACAAAGCAAACAAACAAACAAACCCCATCAAAACAAAAAACAAACCCCAAACTGAGTGCCTAGCAGGTTTTGATGTCTTCAGCGCTCTCTCAAGTCAGGATTAATGCATAGCATCGTAGGAGGGTTGTTTCAGGAGGGTTGTTTCAGGAGGGTTGTGTTTTTGTTGTGTTTTTATAAAGCTGGGGAGTTATTCTGCAAAGTTCTCGATGGCACTGGGCAGTTCTCGCCGCCTCTAATCCCCTGTATAAAAGCTTTGCTTTTACATGGCTGTTAATATGTTTCTGACCCCTAAATGCATGAAGGTGATATGACTGAGCAGTATAAATCTGAAATGGGTGGAATGTTCTTCTAATAACTGGGATTAAAAGTTTCTCTGTATTTTTTTATCTTTAAAAAGCGAGTAGGTTTTGTGCTATCCAGCTCCTGCGCTGGCATTGTCCGCTTCTCTTGGTGCGTGGGGTTTTCTGTTTGGTTGTTTCGGTATATAAGCCGCACGGGAAAGCCCATGGAAAATGTCTCCTCCTCCTCCGCCCCGTCTCCTTCAGCTTTTGTTTCCAGCTGTTCCCTGGCATGTTTTCCTCCGGTGGCTTCCCTCTCTCAGAAGAGCAGAGGATTGCACTTGCACATAGCTCCAAGACAAGCTTAGGTTTTGGAGCTGAGGTTTTATAACCCTGCTTTTTATCTCGTTTTCTTTCCCTTTACCCCTCACCTTCCTCTGGCAGCCCAGGCTCGGCACGGAACGAGCAGCGATACAGAAGCATTATGTCATAGCGGTTTCTATTTGATTGCAGGCAGAGGATGAGGAAGGAAGCTCTGATGTGAAAACCTCCAGCCCCGTTTTGCTAAACGGTTTGCTGTGAGTTGGCACTCACCTGAAGGAAAATTTCCCTGGGGCACAGAGGATCGTGGCTCAGGGCTAGGGCCCTCCATTGAAGAGGTCTGTTTGTTTCTGCAAAAGTTGTAGTAATAGTGAGGTTGCAACATCAGCTCAGAGACTGACTGTTCCTATAGGGCTTCTGTTTGCTGAGAGCATTTTTACGTAGCCATAGCTTTTTATATTTTTTTTCCTCTTTTCCAGCTCCTCTCTGTCTCATTTCCATCACCCCATTGGGAAATTAGACAATGTTATATCACTTTAAAACTTCGACACCTGTTCTGCAAATATAACCCCTGAGGTGATTAATGTCCTGTATGTGCTGTGCAGTGCTGCAGGCATTTCAATATGAATAATCAATATCAATATCAATAATCCTCACGCTATTCAGACAAAATATTTGCTGTTTAAACCATCAGTGGTTAAGGAGGAGACGGGCAGAAGGGGACACTGAAAGGCTGTATTTAACTGGCAGTTTAATAGAGGGTGCTGTGCATCTCTGGAATAATCTCCTTTTAAAGAAAATGCGGATTTTTTTTTTATTTATTTCTTTTTAGAGATGTCATTTGAACTTATTTTCCAGCCCAGCTTCTGAGTTCCCTGGCCTATTTGGGGGTTTTATTGTACCACTTTCCTGTCTTTGCAAATGATTGTCTGCACACACACCCAGTCATGTACACAGAAATCACCCTGTCTTCTGTTTGCTTCTGTACCGGTTTTAATAGCAACAGGCTGTTAAATTTTGCCTGTAGTTCTGGAGGCCGAGTGGACAGGAGACCTAACTAGACGAAAACAAACAAACAAAAAACCTCAAAAAACCCCACCCCGCTATTTTGCCTGTGCTGTTTACTTAATCTTAAATCATCTCTTGTCCTGAGAGCTGTTCTTTTTCTTATGCTGAGAATCTGCTTAAGTAACTTGATGGTAAAATCCCTACAGGAAACAGTGTGCGGGTCTGTGCTACGGCACAAGGAGATGAAACTCTGTGGGGTTGATCTTACCTAACCTGAGAGCCTTGTCTGTGCTGCTCGCCATGCTAGCAAACATATGTTTACCGTGAAATGCCTCCTTAGGTTGAGACACGCTTGTGTTCTTGTAGGTGTCATCTGTATTATAAGGTTAAAATTCAATATTGTTTTCCTATTTTTAAAAATGCAAAATGCTGGCTTTCTCCTGGTAGCAGCAAAAGTCGTGCTTCGGAGTTGCAGCCAGGGTAGCTGGGGTGAGATCTTTGTTCTGCAACAGCTGTAGGTCAGGAGGAGGAGAGGACCTGGGAGGCTCCAATTTGGGCTGAGAGCGGAGGGTTTGAAAACGTGATTTCAGGCTGTTGAGAGCTGCTGTGGAGCCGCTGCGATGTGGCACGCTTCGTGCAGGTGTGTAGAGGGGTGCTTGCTCTGCTAGCAGGGCCAGCCGATCCTTTAAGGGCAAGGAGGGACTGTTGGGTGTACGCAGCGATGTATTGTAGGTCAAGTCCCTGGAGACTTGTTATCGCTGGAAGCAGCACACCGAAATGTGAAACCAGTGTTAGCAGGCATCCTGGTGCTTCCAGCGTGGAGCAGTCCTTTTTCCGGCATGGGGCTGGTGGTTGGTGCAGCGAGACCAAATTCGAGAGCCAGTGAAATTCATGGTGAGTGGTCTCTCTGTAGCTGCTCCGGGAGCTCTGTGAGTGCGTGTGCTCGGCAGGCATGTGGTGCTTAACCCGTCTACGCCCAGCTGAAATGCTGTAGCCTTCTTTCTGGGCGTTTGGGTGTACAGCGTCAGTCTGGAGACGGCTGCGTCATTGCTGGCTGCCCCTGTTGCGGTGTTGCAATGTGACCCTCTAAATGGCAAAAGCTGGAGATGCCAACTGGCGTTGAGCAGCGGGGTGTGGATGGCAGGAGGGACTGCGGACGCGTGTCCCGCTGATTGGAAACTGCCGCCGTGTGCGTCCGGATCCGTGTGCGGGATCCCCGAGCAGGTGTGCAGCCGTACGTGTGAGCCCAGCACCTCGTGCAGGGTGGCACGCACGTCAGCCTGGTGGTGATGCCACGAAGGTCTGGTGGTGTAGAGCAGCATTTCCCATGTATTAACGTGCACAGTGTTGAGAGGTGTAAATGTGGAAGGTGAACCTCTTCAATAGCCTGATATTGAAGGTATTTTGGACAAATACTTAGATTTTTTTGAGTGTTGTGGGGCTTTTTTTGTCTCCAAGTGTATCTTGGTGTTTGTATGGTAATCCAGCAACAATGAAGATTGTTATGGTGCCCTCTGATTTTCCTCATAGGCTGTCTTTGTTTCTGTGTGCAGCTGTATAATTTTTATGGAGATGTGAACTGCAAAGCATGAAGAAACTCTTTTGTTTGTTGTTGCTTCTGTGCATAAAATCGTTCTTGATTTTCTTCTAAAGCACAAATCCACTTAACATCCCCAATTCTGGACTGACTTTTGACTGTTTCTGTGGCTTCCCGGGTGTCTGCTGAAATTGTTCGAGCTTTAGGAACAGATTTACTTCTGGCTCCAAATGCCGTTTTCGGATGCAGTTGTCATCCTTAAATGAGCCCAGAACAGAGTTCCTCTGTGCGAGGACCACGTAGCTGCTGAAACGCTGCTGGGCTGTGGAGCAGGCAGCGGAGAAGTGAAGTCTTCTGCAAATCTGGGCTTCCTAGAGGTCTCCGAATAAGTGTTTTGCTTTTGGCTGGTTATAAAACCAAACAAGCAATTACTTGTCCGAGATCCCCACCTACGAGCCCTCAGCTGTAGATGACAACGCCTGGGAACAAACTCTGACACGAGCAGCCTTTTTGTGAAAGGCTTCCAGTCTAAATCAAAAGCACTCTCAGTTGAAATGAGATGGATGTGAGTGGAAAACGGAGTACGTTTTTGGGAGAAAATCCACAAATTTGGGTAACTTTAAATAATTGAAAGGTGTTTGTTCTCTCTGTTTCTGCATGTGTCTTTGTACGAGGTGCTTGGCAGCTTGTTGGATGTATCACGCAGAGCTGCCAAGTGCCGCAGCAGCTCCCTTGAGTTGGCCGGAGCTTGCGTGATGTGCTGAGCTTCGTGCGGGGACGTGGGCTCCTGGCCGTGCGCGTGGGGCTGAGCTCCTCAGCTCAAAACAGCTCATCAAACTCATCTGCTGCACAGTTAAACAATCAGAAGCTCCTCGTTACCCCCCAGTGAGTTGTGCAGCGAGAGTGGATTCTGTATTTGCTGCTGCGAGCAGGTGATGAGGAAGGCTTGAGCAGATGGCTTCCATCTACCCCTGTCCCCCGGCCAGCACCGTGCAGGAGCAGCACTGGTCTCCTGCGTGCCCGGTGAGAACTGAGACCTCTTGATCCTGTTCCCAAGGCGGCTGCTTAGCTACAGTGCAGGACAGGAGTGCAACATCTGCGTAGAAGCAAATGCTTTCTGACCCTCAGCTCCAGCTCTGCAGGCACAAGCTGGGGGTGTTTTGCAGTGATGCTGTTCAGGAACTTTTATCACCCTGCTTAAAACAAAGAAGTAATACTGCCAAGGTAAATGCTAACAGCAAAAGACACAGACCTGGGGTGAATCCACCTTTGTTTTAAAGCATATGTTTTGTTGTCCCCTGTTGTTGGAGATAATTTGTTGTTTGTCTATCTAAAGAGTAGGTAATTGAATGCATGACTCAAACTGATGAGCTCATGTGTTGTTTGGAAGGGATTTTTTCTGCGGCTCACAGCTCTGAGCTGACTAGCTAAATTGCTGCTGTTAATGTGCTGTTGTACACACTTTTTAAGGTCAGATGACTTCATCAGTTGTTATTTGAATAGCTTGAATTCACTTTTTTCATCAGCTAGTGTTTATGTGCTCATACCACATTTTTTCTGAATGATTTAGTATCACTTACAGATGATGGAGAAAATAACTACTCTAAGTTAATAGTAGGAGCTGCAGTGGAAGGTAATGCCCTGGTAGTATCTTCTACGTACAGATGCTACTGCCTGTCCTTTAAATTACTTGAGTCAGAGGATCTAGATACCTGCGTCTTTGGTGCACGCGTTACTTGGGTGCTGGCCCCAGCAGCTGCCCTCTGCCTAGGAGCAGATTTTGGTGTTGGACTAATACATTCAGGTGTTGCACACCGCAGTGCAAAACCTGTTTGCTTTGAACGTGCATTCAACAGCTGGCAACTCCTGGCCTGCTGGCATTTCTGTACCCATCTGCCTCGCTGACTAGAAATGAAACAAGTCTTTCTGTATCGACTTCTGCTCACAAGCGAACAATTCTGATATGAGTCTTCAGCCCTGGCTGCTCTTTTACTCATAGGCTGGTGAAGGCACAAAAAAAAAAAAAAAAAAAAACAGAACCCGAAAAACCCCCAAATAAGGCATTTTGAACTGCGCTCATAATGCATCCTAGCTTCGTATTCTGCTTCTTGGAGCAACTTGGCTGCTGGACTCAGTTGCTGCTGTAGGTTGAACATCTCACTATAAACTCTTCTTAAATGAAAAGGTGCAGGGTGTGGGATGCAATAAGAGGGAATGTGTGAACATGGTGACGGGGGCTCTGTGTGTGTGTTTTGGGGGGGTGTGTGGATAATAACTGCTGTCGTCTTGTGGAATACAGTTGTTCTGCAGGAAGATGAGTCCCAGGAGGCCAGTGCCCACTCTGGTTTTAGCAAAGAGTCTGTGGAGAAGCTGGTGAGTTTGTACGGTGCTGTCTGTGTTGCAGGAATGTGCTATGAAACTTCTGGAGTAGCTCTGTCCCTCTTGGCCTGACCTAGCTCCCGGTACACCCCCAAAGCTGGGCACTGGAGAGGGATGCTGCCGGGAACGCTGCTTGTGGATGACACCCTGCAGGTGGGGGGTTATTTCACTCTGAAATAACCTAACGGGGAGGGTCTCTGTTCAGACGGTGGTGTTAGCTGCTGTCCAAATTCCAGCTGTCAGCCCCACGAGTGAGCGCGGTTCGGTTATGGGGGTGGTAGTGGTCTATGGGGTTTTGCCTTGGTTTTGGGGTGGGGTTTTTAGCATGCCGAGGCTTGGAAGTGGGAATGATGCTCTTATTCTGGAGCTGGTCTGCTGTCATGTCCCAACACAGACCTGGAGCTACTGCACCCATCTTTTGGCCTCAATTTTGTGACCTCCCATCATTTCTCTTCCCTCGTTTGTTCTCTTCGGCTTGTTGATGAGGACGGGACTGGCTGGATGTCGCTGCTTCTGCCCTTTCTCCGCACTCAGCAGGGACGGGGGCATCCCTCCTAATTTGTTTTGGGGGAAACCAAGCGGCACGCTATCCCAGATGTCAGGTGCGGCGCGGTGTTGCTGCTCCATTGGGAATGATTATTGCTTTTTCATCGTTAACTTGACCCTACGAAAACGTTGGCCGTGGTCAGTTTGCCGGCCGCTCTCCCCGCATGCATGGCACGCCGCGGTCGCTCCGGCTTTCTGAAGGAGACAGGCAGCCTTGCTTGGTGCCTGCGCACACAGGGGCGAGGCTTTCCATTTTAAAACCCAGCTGCGAGAGTCATGGCTGAGAAAGGTCTAGTTAGCATCTGTGACACCCAGGGACTTGGTAGAATAAACAGTCGTCTTTGGACACTGCTCAATTATTGCTGGCATTTGGGATAAATTAATTTCTGCAGTAATGGCTTTAGGTTGAACTTACCGGAGCACAGAAAGGCTCTGTTGTACAGTCACTGCACTGGTTTTTGCACAGATTAATGGCTTGGTTGGTTTTTCCTCTTTTAGTCCAGCTGGAAGGTTTGCCCAAGCCCTTTGGAGGGAGAGGGAGGGACCTTTCAGCAGCTTGCGTTTTGCACACACAACTAAGACGGCTGCTAGCTTATGTGATTAAAAAAACCTGCCTGCGTATCCCCAGAGGTGTGCCGAGGGACGGTGGCAGGTTGGGGAGCCCAAGCGATACCCAGCCAGGCTCTGCCAGCCCTGCAGGAGCGTCTCGGAGGAGGGGACACCCTGCCCAGACCCCTCCCAGGGCCGTCCCGGGGAGCCTGGCCTGGCTGCCCGTGAGCGGTTGTCTGGCCGGTAAGGGACTGCCAGGGAGGGGACAGGGCTCATGTGTATAGTTTACGTCTTCCCAAAAATTCACAGTTGGTTATGGTGTTCTTGCTGGCATCCACAGCATTGTCTGTACTGGTGATAAAGGTTTTAAACTAAATTTACCTGTCTCTGCTTAGCCGCAGCTCTTGGAGTCCTTGCTGTTGAGAAGCTTTATTGGAGACTCATTCTTAACTTTCTCCTTTTGCAAAAGGGAAGGAAAAATTTATTTATATCCCATTGACCCACTCTAAAGCATTTCTTGGTGTTTATCTACTTTTAAATGAATGTTTTCACTGCCACAAGACCAGCTGCACACTGGATGATTTACGGCTTCTGATCCTTCCTTGTGTATTAAGTAAGGATTTCCACGACACTTGGGTTACAAATTCATTGCAATTTGTCTGTAAAGTCCGCCACGCTGATTGGGAGGTATTCTCAGTGCTGCCCCAGGAGAAACAGGGTTTGCTCGATACTCTTGATGGTGTTTGCCTGTTTTATAATCACGACATGTCTTTAAATTTTTCAGTTATTAATTTGCCAGTTGCTCACAGAGACCTACATCAATTTCTCCTGAGGATCCTCTTGAAGGCGATGCAGCGTGACCAGCCCTTCATAGCTGGCTACTCGAGTTCACTGTGATATTGCAGCAAGTTAAATATTTGATGTGTATTCTCTCTTTTTTTAATTTTTTTATTTTTATTCCAGCCCCGCGCTCTTCCCTCCTCCCAGCAGTCACTGGTCAGTGTGGCATTAGACCTGCAAATTTTTAAGAAGACCTTTTAAGAAGTCCTAGACCTTTTTCTGGACTCGGCGGAGTTGATGACCTGTAGGAAAACGGAAGCATCTGGGGGGTGCTTTGGGGGAAAATCCAGCATTTTCAGTTAAACAATTGTGGCGTGGTGGCTTTGGCTGTACTAATGACAGTCACAAATGAAAGTCCGTCACCGGGCTTGCTGGGTGAGGCACTGCGGTGGCGCGACGAGTGTTTCTGGTGACTTGTGAGCCAGTGTTAGAATTTCCCGGTAGAGCAGAGCGTTTCTCTAGAGGTGCCAACAGATCAGGCATATCTCGCTCATCAGTCCGCCTCTGAGGACTCAAATGCCATCATTATTAGGAGAGTTGCAGAATGGAGCCACTCTGGCTTAATTATGTCTATAGATGAAATAACAATCTGCCAAAAAGCAGCATTAGTCAGATAAGTAACAAAAGTCTACTCAATTTATCTTATTTTCTTATTTATATAATGCATTGAGTGAAGGATTGGCCTTGGCTCGTCATCATTGTGCACCTCAAGTTTTGACTATTGACCTTATATATCACTTTGCAAATGGGTTGGTTGACTTCTTTTGAATTATAAATAAACTGAACCCAATTTAATTTAACTTAAAAAAAAAAAAAAGAGAAAAGCTGAGGTGGCATTATACAGCGCATGTCTGTAAGCTGGGGGAACTGATTATATTTTTAATGTAGCTCAAATAATGTGCGTTGGTTTTTGTTGTGGGTAGACTAACAGAAAGTGAGGTGGTGGATTCCGAGCTCCCACAAGCAGAAAACCTCATTTAAGAAATGAGGTGGCAAAAGCATCTTTGGCCAATCTGATTCACGCAAACTGTAAATGACTTTCAGTGCTAAGTAGAGTGTCCCTCGGAAGGGAAGCAAACTTGTCGTAAAAATGTGTCAGTCTCACTTGAGTACATTGATTTTTTTTTTTTAAATTATTATTATTATTATTATTTATTTAATTTTTTTCCCCTTTGGGAAGAGATTTTTGAGTGTCACCTGGAATGTCTTCTGCCCCAGATGTGTGAATAAATTATGTTCTTCTCAAAGACACTGCAGATGCAAACTGGAGATGTTGCTGCCAGCCTGCTGCAGCCTAGCCTTCGAGGAAGGTCACAGGAAAACTTGCTGATGGCTTGCTTTAATGTGGGGCGAGTCCCTTCGTCCCTCTGTCACGGGGCGAATCCCGGTTGTACCTTTTTGATACTTGTATAGGTGCAGTGAAGCTGTTAGTTGGGGGTTGGATCGTTAGAGCATCTCTGGAGGAGGACACTAGATTTGGACCAATAACCTAAAATGCAGTATTGGCTCTAGCATCACACTGAGAGCTGGAATCGCTCTCACCCCAGCACTAAGGGAGGATCGCCTTGGAAAGCTAAAGGAGGAAAAAGGCACGTGCTGCTCTTACTGCTGTAAGGTTTTGCTCAAATCTGCCGTTTTAAGGGGAGGCGACCCTTCTGGTCCCCCGCCCAGGTGTTAGGGCAGAGTCATCTTGAGAGTCTGCCACTGCAAAGTTGTCTCCTTTTCTCTAAGACAAAGACCTACACAAAGCCAAGAAGCTGCTGTGCTCACAGCAGTAAATCTTTATAGAGCCTTGTTCACTTGAGCTATTTAAAGCAATTTTCCTGAAATATTAATCTGTTTAAAGGGAAAGGCCAAGAGTAGCGTGAAATACATATCTCCCTTGTCTTTCTACCTTTTCCAGTGTGGCTTCCAGTTCCGTGCATCTGCTTGCCTGCTGCCTCCTCCATTGTGTTTTCGGTGTGCTGCTGCTTGTGCAGATGCCGTGCAGGGGCTTGGCGGAGCGGAGGGACGCCTTTCTCCGAGCAGTGAATTCCCACGGGGAAGGGGGACTGACAGCCTGATACAAAGTAGTATCAAGTGCTGGAAGCAAATTGTCATTTCTCTTGGAGGGGTTTTACTCTTGCTGGTCACATCAGGTGTAATCTTTCAGGTGAAAGTCTGTAAGTTTGAACTAAGCTAAGATTGGGTGCGGGTTTTTTTCAGGTCACACTGACGCGAAGTGTGCTGTGCTCTGCATGAGTAATTTGGAAGAGGTCAGAGTTTCCTATAACGCATCCTGCCTATTCCCATGGGAAAATGGCTTGCTTTCTTAGGTTTTCCTTATACCAATTGGCAAAAGAAATAAAGGTTTGAAATTCCCTGGAGTGTTGCCCGGGAGTGTGAAACCTGGCTCTGCGGAGGGGAATCGGGTGTCTGACATCAGGCTTGGTGACAGCAGATCGCTTTGCAGAGCGCCCTGTGCCAGGTCAGCTTGCCGCTCGAGAAGTGGGGTTGAGATGGCGTCAGTGTAAGTAGGAGTCTAAAGCAGGACTGGAAAAATAGCAGAGGAGTCGGCCTGAATGCTAAATTAGAGAGAACAGCCCAGACTTGTTTTCCAAGCCTCATTCATTTTGTTGCATCATGCTAGATATTGGTCAGGAAAGAGATCAGTTGATATAAAATAAGCTTTAAACAAGACTGTTTCCTTTTCCCCCCCCGGTGCTGCGTGCCCCGAGGGCCAGGCGGGGTTGTGGAGGCAGCTGCTGGTGGCGAGTCGGCTGGTTTGCTGATGCTGCGTGTGCCGCAGGAGCATTGCGTGGGGTTTGTAGCAGCGCATCCCTTCCGGGGGATCAAAGCATGTTCTGGTGGAGAATAAATGTCAGTCTCGAAATGAGCTGTACTTGGTTGCAAGCAGAGGTGATGCTCAGGTGGGGGAAACCCTGTCAGCTACAGAAATTAAATTTTAAAAACTTCCCTTAACTTACTGGCGTCTGAGCTGCCTGAAATGAAAAGGCAGAGGAGCAGCCCTGGAGCAGCACGGCCAGGGCACGCTCTGCCAGCGGCTGTCACGCTGCCAGCAGCCTCTGTGCAATGGTGGCATCTAGTGGCTGCTGCGGCCGGCAGGGCTGTGGCCCTCTGTCCCCAGGTCCCTGGGACGAGGGGGAAGCCAAGGCTGAGCTTGAGCTGTAGGCTGAGCCTAGGAAAGCGAGCTGGGCTGCTCGGCTTCCTTGCCTGCTGTAAATGGGGGGAGTGTGTATTGGGCTACAGCTCAGGAAACTGCTGTGTGGTGCTGGGACTGAAATAGTAAGGTGCCAGCTGTGAGGTGGCCAGCACCAGCGTTAGCTGCTGTGGCGAGTCCCGCGATTTTAAGGGCATTTGTGATTGATGCAAGTTTTCTAGCCTCAGCGAGCCATGGCTGTCCTGCACAGCCATGGGAGAGCTGCGCTTGTGAGCGGCATCCTGCTCCGAGTACTAATCAGCTTAAAAAAACAGACACAAAAAAAAAAATGATGTTGCGTGCAAGCTTTAAAGGGAGTCCGTTTGAGCTGTCCTGATGCACTGTGTATGGAAGAGGGAAGCTGACATTTTCTCCAGAATGTTGCAGTTGCGTGGGTTTTGTCCTTATCTGTGAGCTTGTAGGTAGATTTTTTTTTTTTTTTTTGCTCAAAAACCTTTTGTAAATTTAGCCCCTCATCCTAATTTGGATGTATGCAAGTTAAAAAGTGCATCGCTTTCCTCCAACCCATATTACCAGATACTGCTTAAATGCTGACGGTAGCCTAGAATAAAGAGTCAAAACAGCTTTGCTTTTAACTCAAGTGTATGTGAATTCCTCAGGCCGGTTTCACAGCAGTACCGCAGGTGTGCAGTCCTCAGAAAGGCCTTCACCTCCAGCACTCTGATGCCAAGGAGAGAAGTTCTGCGCAAAGGCACGGGCTGCCCTGAGGCCAGGCAGCGAAACCAGTTGACTGGCAGCTGTCTGGAAACGTGAAGAGAGAGATTTGGTACTTTCATTTCTCGGTGATCTTTGCCTTCGGTGTTTGACGTCAAGTGTGGCGGGCAGCAGGTGCCTGGAGAGTCTGCCAGAACCGCTCCATCGTGGTGAGCTCTGTTAATTTCCCGCACAAGCGATGGGCTGCCATCCCTGCCTGTCCCCTGGGAAGGGATATCTGCAGGGGCAGGTACAACCATGCACCTCATGCTTCCTCCCTCCATCTCGCATGCCTTCTCTTCTGAGCATAGGCATCGCTGTGAAGGACGTGAAGAACTTCTACTTTGCCTATTTATTTTCCCTGAGCATCTTTGGAGCGAGGAGCAGTTGCAGCAGGAGCTCAGGAAGTTTTCCAGTGCTGTTTTCTGGTGGTTTCCCACTTTGGTCATAGCCATATTGTTCTGCCCAAAGGCCAGCGTTGCTCTGATTTAAAGTATGTGGTGTAGTTTCAGATGGGCATGGAGGGAACGGGTATTAGAAACGTTGCTCTGGTGACTGAGTCATGTATGTTTGTGACAGGGAACGCATGTTCCCTCTGTAGGGGGTGTAGGCTGGGCAGTTCCTGAGCGTGGAGCCTAACAAGGGCATTTCTGGGTTTGTGTGTTTGGCGTTTCCATTAATGCGTTTTCTTCTCTTTCCAGTCCAGCTGAACCTCTCTCGCTTTTAAGAGCTGATAGTCGGGCAGCTTGTTTCACCCCATGGCGGCATTTTTGGAAGCGTGTGGCCTCTGTGCCCCGAAAAGGGTGTCGTTATTCCCCTCCTTGGTGCTTGCACACAACTGCTCCATCCATGCGCCTGGGCTGCTGGCACAGAGGATGCTGAGGACTTTCTGCTTGCAGGGAGCTCTTGTGCCTAACGAGAAATGGGGCAGTTCTGCGTGGAGCAGAGTCTCTGGGGATTTTGCATCTGAAACAGGGCAGTGGGCTTAATTAGCCCCTTCCCTAAGGGCCCGTCAGCCTGTGCCAGGGGATGATCCTGGTTCAGGAACTTGGGGGGGGAGATGTTTGGGTGCTCCCTCCTGGTTGCGGAGCAGGCTTGCTCCCACTACTGCTCGCCATCCCTGGGGACGAGGGAGACTTATATCCACCTGAAAATAAATACAGATCATTCACTTGGCTCTGGAGGAAGATAAAATGTAAACTGCCTATTTTCTGTGATAAAGCAGTGGAAATAGTTGGAATTTAAGATAATTATCTTTATTGCTTTTTATAGCACCCTGTGAAGGCTGAAATCTAATTTGTTTTTCGCTAACAGGGAGCTCCTGCTGATGACTTAGAAAAATCCATTTGCTTTATTGGCAAACTTGTCTGTTTGGTTATCGGGGCAGTATTCTCCTTGCAGGAAAGGGGAAATACAGGTCGTAACACAATGGTGGGTTTTTAATATGGATTCAAAGTTTGATATCTATTGGCAAGAGGAAAACCTAAAGTTGATCTAATCGGAGTGAAGCGACTCTGCTTTATTAAAGATGATTGTAAATTAGTTTATGCTTTAGTGGGTGTGCAGTAATGGTGCACGGTGCTTTGTTTAAGCAACTTCAATACTCTTGAAGCTTATTAACTGGAGCTTGCGGAGAAGCTGCTTTTCCTGGGCACCTGGTGCCCCTTGGCTGTTCCCAAGCCCAGGCTTTGGGGAAGGAGGTGGGAGGTGCGGCGTGCCTCTTCCCTCCTGTGCCTGGGGCCATGGCAAGCAGCACGTTCGGCTCGGTTTGGACGTGCTGCTTGCAAGTGGAGTTGCCCCTCTTCTAAACTTCTTCTCTGCCTGAATGTGAGAGACAGGCTCCCAGTTTTTAACAAACTTTGTGTATCTGAAGATGCTGGGCACCCCTCATGCGAATGAGTTGCTGGTCAGCACAGCCTGGTGGTGTGGTTGAGGGTCTTCTGCTGCTCTGGTACTATGGCTCTATGAAAAGCAGTTGTCTGTGCTGCACTCTCAGCTGTTGGTAAAGGGGGAGTGCTTTCTGCCTTATCTGACCCTGTACGATACTACACACCTGAGAGCTGCTCGGAAGAAGAAACAGGCTTTCAGTATCACCCGCCTCCCAAAATGTCCTTTGAAAGTTTCGGGCAGTGATGTTTGTTGAGAGGTGATGGCTCTGCAGGCTGACTTAGCAGAGATGCTTCTAAATTGTTCGTCTCTCTGGCGCACCCCCCCAAAAGTCTGTAACTTAATGCTGTCACTTGGGATAATGCTACAGACCGCTGAATCTCCTACAGCTTGAGTCCTAACAGCTTTTATCCAACCATGGAGAAGTAAGAAGCAATCTAGGGGTTAACTATATTTTTAGGGAGGAGGGAGAGAGCTCCCCAAGAGTGGGGTTTGCCTTGAAGCAGAGGTCTATTTCTAACAAGTCTCTGTAGCCCTCCGCAAACAGGCAATACAGCAAGGGGGAGAAAACGTCACTTTCTGTAAATGTGAAATGATAGATCTGGGTGGGCAGAGCAGATTTCTTGTCTGTCTCTGAAGACCTGCTCGGTGTTTGCTCAGCTTTTTATTGTTTTCCTTTCAGGAATTGACTACAAGACCACTACTATCTTGTTGGACGGCAGAAGGGTCAAGCTGGAACTCTGGTGAGTGAGCTTTGGCTGCGAGCGCAGGACCGGTGACAGGGGCGGTAGTGCTGCTAGTGGGATGCTGTACCGAGCTGTGGAGAGTGCAGAGCATCCCCAGGCATGCAGTGAGGCTTGAGTTCTTACCAGTGAGTTATTCTAGCAAACCAGCCCCCTTTCTGTTAATAGAGTAGCACAAACAGCATGCTGTTCTTTGCTGGAATAGTCTGATTTCAGTCTTTCTCCGTCATACCCGACTGTGTTCCCATACAGCTCTCAATCACTGAGGGAACAGTATTATTTTGGAAGTAATACTGGATTTTCCTGAAATCCTAGGATGAGAAATACAGCCGAGAGAATAGGCAAAGAGGAGAAAAAAATGGGTGAAGCTCTTAGCCCCTACAGAAGCTGGATATTTCTCAATGACTTGAGTAGAAAATTAAAACAAGAGCAGTGAATAGACCTCACAGTTAGTGTCAGTATGGTAAACCCCTGGAGAGCAGGACTTACTGGAGTGACCTGACACTGGGATGGAGACGGGAGAACGCTGCATGGGAGGGGTGACCCCTGCCTTATCTGTCAGCACTGGAGGGAGACCTGGAGTCCTTCTGGCCGAGCTTTGTCTGAGGTTTAACCTGCTGAGAAGCTGCCACAGCAATCCTCTAGATGAAAGGGGAAGGACAGGTAGCCTGCCCCTATTCTAGGTTTCACCCAGATCTAGTAGGGAATGACATGGGCCCTAAAACATGAAGTTAAATAGCCCCTTTACCAACGCTTGTATCAGGTAACAGGAATGTTAGTAATCTGTGTGAATTGTTAAATAGGAATGAACGCCATGTTCTCAACCTCCAGCAGCATATAGTTTCACAGTTTAATTATACCTCTGCTCTCTGAAGCTGAATGTCCTAATTTTTCTTAAAAAAGAATAGAAGCAGCTAATTTGTCTCTTCTACCTTGTACGTTTATATGTGCTGCTTATATTCTTTTGTCTCTCTTGTAAGATGTCTGTTCTAACATTTCAGCCCCAAGTGTGTGGTTACTTATTGCTTCCCTCCGGAAACCCTCTTCTTTTTATACTGTAATTCTTGAGCTGGAGAACCAGCACGGAACCTGAAAAGCTGGTAGCATCGGTTTATGATGCCTTAATGTAATCTTTTACCATTACTTTCCTCATACAACCCAATATTTGATTGTCGGGGGAGAAAGAGCACAGACTGTTAGATTAACATCCATGACCAATAGTATGAACCTTGAAAGCTTTAGATCTGAAAGAATGACTGTCCTGAACTTGAGGTCACTGCCTTTTTCATATAGCTGGAGCAAATCTGGGGCTGAGGGATTCATCAGGTTTCTCAGTGGTCGTTAATGTGTCTTTTATGCTGGCCCAGTGAACAGATATGACAAACATAATAACGTGTCTCTGATTACCCTGACGCATTTCAGAATATACCGGTTAAATCAGTGTGCTGGGCTCTGGCTGACTGTCCCAGATGTTCCTGCAGGCACTGAGAGGTGCTGGTAATGTAGTCAAACTTATTTACACCATGTCAAGAGTTGCAGTCAGGACAAGTGATAGTGACTGAATAGCCCCTTATTGTCACAGTGGGCTAGAAATGCCGTTCCTTAGTCCTGTTCCTGAGCTCTGTAGGGTATGAGAATGACTGTCCTGAACTTGAGGTCACTGCCTTTTTCATATAGCTGGAGCAAATCTGGGGCTGAGGGATTCATCAGGTTTCTCAGTGGTCGTTAATGTGTCTTTTATGCTGGCCCAGTGAACAGATATGACAAACATAATAACGTGTCTCTGATTACCCTGACGCATTTCAGAATATACCGGTTAAATCAGTGTGCTGGGCTCTGGCTGACTGTCCCAGATGTTCCTGCAGGCACTGAGAGGTGCTGGTAATGTAGTCAAACTTATTTACACCATGTCAAGAGTTGCAGTCAGGACAAGTGATAGAGACTGAATAGCCCCTTATTGTCACAGTGGTCTAGAAATGCTGTTCCTTAGTCCTGTTCCTGAGCCCTCTGTAGGGTATGACCAACCAGGTCTGTTTATGTATGTAGTCAAACTTATTTACACCATGTCAAGAGTTGCAGTCAGGACAAGTGATAGTGACTGAATAGCCCCTTATTGTCACAGTGGGCTAGAAATGCCGTTCCTTAGTCCTGTTCCTGAGCTCTCTGTAGGGTATGACCAACCAGGTCTGTCGGAGATCTGGGTATAAAGAGACTTCCTTTCATTTTTGGTTAAAACGTGTTTGGAAAAATAAGTGAAACTAGACAGTGGAAGACAATTCCTCCCATCTTGAGTGGTTATGTTCATTTTACAATAGGTTAGCTGTTCTCCATGACTAGGAGACGTCTGTGGTCTCACTCTCACTTTGAACTCCCGTGGACTGTGGGGAACTAGAGCGAAAATCCTTTGCCCAAGGGAGTAAAATGACTTACATCCTCGTACATCATAAGGTAGTGCTGAAGCTGAGTTTTGGGTTGTACCTTCTCTGTGGGAAGCACGATGACAGCGAGGACCTCTGGAGTGTGTCTGACTGTAAGGAAAGGTGGTGATGCACCCATTGATTCTTCCCAAAAAACACCGTGCAGAGCCGTTTGGATACCATGCATGTTCTAAAGATCTGACAAGATCAACACTGATTTACTTACTTATTTTAGGTCCAATAGGAGATGTGCAGTATGGGATTCGATTCTCCAAATTTTATAGCTGTAACTTTCCTTTGTTGCAGGGACACATCAGGGCAAGGAAGATTTTGCACCATTTTCAGATCCTACTCTAGAGGAGCCCAGGTAAGTGCTGCTCGCAGTGCTTTGATGGGACACACTTGCTTTTCATTTAGGCTGAATACTTTTCAGGCATTACCTTTCATGCCGTAGTAAAGAGCTCTGAAGAGGAACACATCAGGCATCAAAAGGATGGGATCTGTGTAAATGCCAAGAGGCGCTGCACGTCACGTCGTCTTGCTGCCTGCTGTTCTGATTTCATGAAATAATGGGAGAGAGGGGAGTAAATGACAGACTTTCCTAGACCGCTACAGAAAAGGTCTGTTACAGATTATGTTCACTATTAGTTTCTAGAGAAGGGCTGAGAAGATGGGGTTATAGAGGACAAGGCAATTCTAGCTCTAGATCTGCCTTAGCTTTAATGTGGGAGCTCATACTTTCTGAGGTTTGTCAAATTTGTTTAAATACGACACTGGCTTTCCCAATGGAGTTCTTCCAGTCTGTGTTGCCTTCAAGTCAGTTCCAAAAATAGGGTGGCTCCTACTTGCATGTTTGATGCAGACTTGAAACTAGAGCAGCTCATTTGGATCGTAAAGTATGTTCCTTAAAACATGAGACAGAGCATTACGTTTCGAGTTCCTCCTTTGGGCCCTGCTCCAGAATAGCATCTAGATTCTGAACAGCAGAAAAATCTTGTGCTCCTCTGAAAAATTGCTGTTAGTTAACAGTGCTTTCTTACAGTTTTATACTCATCCTTTTAGTAATGTGACAGGGTCCCTGCAGGATAGTCTTCCTAAGTTAAGTGAACCATTGTGTTTTCCCTTTTGTTTCCAAATTGGAAAACTTTGGAGAAAATTCCTCCTCTCTTAGACACTAAGAGTCGGAAGCTATATATCAACCTGCTGACTGTGCCAGTATCCTGGCAGCTTCCCTGCCTTTGGGAAACTTTGCCACTTTTATTCAAGCTCTTACCCCTATTGCTCTTGGCTTTTTGCTCCTTGTAGCTGTAGACGTTTGCTTTGCTAACTGGCAAAATCCGTCATGCTCTGTTTCTGTAAGACTTCCTGCAAATTCACTTGTGCTGTAGACATGAGAGCTCTTCACCTGGGATGTGCTGTTGATATCTCCTCCGGTGTCTCGTTTATTCTTGTTTGTGCACATCTCTGCTGTTGTGGGGTGGCTTTGAGGCAACTCCTTTGAAGCAGAGGCCAATTTCCTGGTGCTTGCAGAAGTGCAAGGCAAGGAGTGTTGGAGCGTGCCTTCTGCAGTGGAAGAGCACGGGATCTCCCATTCGCATGCTCGGTCCAATGTGTGAGTTTATCTTTAAGCTTACCTCTGCCCTTACTACATTTCAGAAAAATCTGGAGCTCCAATCCTAATATAACCTGTGGGCTTGAGACCATGTCGCTTCCCTCACCCGTTATAAATGAACAGAATCGGTCAGTGTGGTTTTCTGATGACCACATAACTTAGCTTTGGTCAGTCTTTTTCTGAGACGTGCTGTGTCAGATGCCTGAATCAAACTGGGAATAGAAAGCGGCAGGCTTCCCAACTAATGTGTCCAGAAGTATCATTTGAGATCTCTTACTCCGGTCTGCAGCATGACCTGCTTTTCCAAACTGCTGTACAGAAGACTTTCTCCCCTTCGTGTAGACTGTGAGCTCCTCAGAGCAAGTGCTGTGTCTCCACAGGGCTGCACCCAGCAGAGCCTGCACCCACATGCCAGAACTCGTAGCTGCTGCCGCCATACAGCGAACTGGGGCAGACAGGAAAGGTGAAATAAGTAGTGATGGGAATACTTGAATTGGATGGAGAGGCAGGTACACACCTGTCTAGAAACTGCCGTGGAGCTGTAAGGCACTTGCACAGTGCAGCCTTTGGGTTCCTGCAGCCTGTTCTCCCTAGACGCTGTGTTTGACGCTGGATGCCATAAGGTGTCATGTATCTGGCTGACCTTAAGTTTGAAACTGAAGATTGCTTTTATCTTCCTTTCTCAAAATGAAGTTCTTGACCTTCTTTGCTTTGGAGGCAACATGTTGCCCTTCTGCTGTCTTTATCAGTATTGCTTTAGGAACTCTCACCTGAACATCTGCAAGGCTTGCCTCATCCATCTTATCTGCTTACCCCTCCCAAGGAGTCTGTCTGAGAGACGTTTGCAATAAACCTCATCAGCCAGGCAGAGGGACCTTTAATGTGAATGCTTTATTGCCGAATGCTGGGGTACGGAGCTTACTTAGGCAGCAAGGTGTAGCTTACGCCTTGACCTCAAGCCTGTATTCTGCTTGTGCAACAAATCCCTTTTCCAAAGGACTGTTGTGATGCCTCAGTCCTCATCTGCCAAAACAGTCAACCTTTACCCTTAGAAACGACAAAACAGCCCTAAACAGCAAGCCTGCCCAGCAGGAGGAGGGGTAGTTCCCAAGGGAAATTATCTCCACTGCCCTCTGAAAGTGTTCTTGAGACGAGCACAGTGAAAAGTGGGTGCCTCTTGAAGGCTGGTAGCTAGAGTCCTTGTGCACCAGGTGTACACCTTGTTCTCCAGGTGGCTTGGAGTAAAACTTAGATTGGTTTCAGCATCAGGTGATGGGCTCCCATGTGGCGATACAGCAATATTCCTGCATTAGCAGGAATACAGATATTGTCTCAAATAACTCACCGCATCTTTCAATGGAAGAGGAAAGCATCTTAATTTAAACTCTTAATGGTTAACCGAAGCAAGAGGACTGTTTGTTTTGAATAACAAATGCCTGTGTGACTGCAAGAATGGACTTCAACACCTCCAGTTATTTTCAGTATGCAGAAGCTAACTTCTTCTGGCACAGCCTTAGCATAAAGACAACTTAACCCAGTGTGGTCTCGGGGGGGAAAGAGATAAAATGCTCCCGAGTTCTCTTATTTCTTCAAGATGTATTTAATGCTGCGTGCTGTACTGACTTCTTTGCTTCAGCTGTCTGCTTTCCTCTCTTGGTATCATCAGACTTCAAGATTTCTGCTGTAGGAAGCCTGATGCAAATCCAGTTGGAGGCAAGAGAAACAGCTTTTTTTAACCTAACAAGCCAAAAGCTCAGGAAGACTAAATACAGCAGAGAAGCGAGACACCAGGGTGGGAAAAGCTCTGTTTAAAGTGGAGGGTGATACTTGTACAAGAACAGCTTGGTATAAACTGGCCACGAGCACCTTCACACTGAAAATTAGCAGAAGGTTCTCACTGAGTAGAGGAGCAAGACTCTGGACTGAGCTTCCCGTAAGGAGCACGAGGGGAGCTTGAAGAATGAGTTTCCAAAGAGGACTTGGACAGGTTGGCTGTGAGAGGAGGAGGCTGGCCTCAGCAACCTGACAGCCCTTACATGGGTGACTGAGAACAGGGTGAGTCTATCTGAATAGCCAGTGCTTGAGAGAATACTTGGTATGAAAAGTGCCTTCAGGTAAGGGATGCACACCTGACTTTCCCACACACACCTTACTGTTTCTCAAGTGTAGTGGTAAGAATTGAATCTTCTGAAGTAAACCCTGGAGAGGTTGCAAAGTGGAAAAACAGTCTCCAAATAGGAAGCAGACCTTCTCGGGAGTTTTCCTTTCCCCCACAGCACAGCCTCATGCTTTGCTCAGTCCGGACTTCAGGCTAGTCCCTCCCAGTGAAAGGACTCAATGCCTTCCCCAATTTAGACTCCACACCACTTGCCTAGGTACATAGCCATGTGGCTTTCATGTTTGGCAGGAACTCCTTCCTCTTGAAAACATCTAAAGTAAAATAGCTTCGTTGTCCTTGATGAGCTGGCTTCAGATGAGGACCAGTCCCTTCTTTCAGCCGAGGTGGACCAGCCACATTTGCCTCAGGATTTGCTGTGAGGATCGCAGATCTGTCTTGCCTTCCCTCCCTGCCCTGCCCAGCTGATCTGATCTCATTAGGAGATGCAATGAGCTCTTTGGCTCAAGGTGGAGGCTTGTGGCATACTGGTGTGCCTGGGACCCCCCCCCTCTTCTCGCTTCCCTGAGGTTTGAGTTTCCCTTCTATCGCAGCTGCTTTCATCATCCCTTCCCTCTTAGGGTCTGTTGGGCCTGCAGGTCCTGACCGCATTGCTTCAGAGTCTCGCTTTGGGGCAAAAGAGGAGCAATTGTGTCTGGGATAGCAGAGCGCTGGCCTCTAGGCACTGGTGGAGCAGGGAGAGTGTGCAGGCCACGTCATGGTGACTGCAGGGCCAGGGGAGGGGAGGGATGGAAACCCAGTAGCGTTGCAACCTGCAGAACAAACTCAGGGAGTCTGGAGCTTGCTGTGTTTTAGAAGGACTTTTATATTAATTGTCACAGTGTAGCATATGGTGAAAGGCATTTAGTGACGCTTAAAGGTGCTTCAGAAATCGTTCATTTTGCTCTTGGACTTCTGCTGTTTGACTTTTTCTGCTTGGCTTTAAGGTCTCAATCATACTGACAGCAGAGCTGGCACACCAGTCTCAACTGTTGGGTGCAGCTGTGGCTCTTCTGGCTGCTGTGAGCAAATGCAAGCTATTCCAAGAGTCATCACAGAGGGGAGAAAGAGGGTTGTGGTGGCGCTTTCTGATCTAGCAAGGAAGAAGCAGTGCTAGTATGATTCCTGATGTCCTCATGTGCCAGTGATTTAAACTGTTTCTGGAAACGTGGCTTGCCAACTCTTCCCAGTCAGTGTGATACAGAAGGTCCTTCATGAATAGTTTCAGACCGTCTACAGGAAGCTATAATCAACATTCAAAAATGCTCCCATCTTACAGCAAAGCTGCAGCCCTAACAGAATAATGAATATTGTTGAGTTCTGCTTAGGCAGGCGATTTGAGTAGCTGCTGTTTATCCTGTTCAGGGCTGCTTAGTATGCAGGAAGGTGATGGCTTTTTTGGCAGCTCAGCAGGCTCTGAGATGTAGGCTCTGCTCTACCTTATGGCTTTCTTGGTTGCTGCAAATACCTTACCTGCCTCAGGTCATTTTGATGGGGTTGTCCAGCTGCTGGAGGAGTCTGCCCTGCCTGCCAAAATGTTTGTCAAAAGCTCAGGGATAAATAAACCCCCCAGTGTGGTATGCTGTTGGGAAATGGCTTGGCAGCAGGTGTAATTGCCCATGAGCCAAGGTCTGAGGTGCCAGCTGGAAAGCCATGACCAAACGTAGCTCTGAAAGAGCAGGCAGGAGAGACAAAATGTTCTGGTTGCCATCAGCGTTGGATCTTTGTTTATGGTTTACTTTGTCCTGTGGGCCAGAGAAATCCAGTCGGGGGGGTCTTCCAGGCTTCTTCAGCAACAGCTTTTTTCCGTCGGTGGAGAATAGCAGCGCGTGACGCTTTCCTGGCCGCCCTGTCATCTGCCTGCACTGAGCTGAAGTCTTTGGCAGTCGTGCGAGCGCTTGCTTCCCCCTGGCCGTGTTCATGCGTGCTTGTGCGAGTGGCTGGAGATCCAGCTCCTAAAGCATCTGAGAAGCCTTTTTGGAGAAGTCTGCTTTGCGCTAATGGGTGAGCATGCTGCTTCTCTCTCACCTTTAAAAGCTTATTGCTTATAAGCCTGGTCTAAACCTGTGGCAAGCAGACAGGGATGATACGTTTTGTTTGTTTTTTTTCCCCTTGGTTATGTGGACAGATCTTTGTGTAAGCTCCTGCTGAAAACAAGTTTAGGTTTTGGCAGAGTAAGTGTCCACATGTGCTGCTAGATACAATAACAGATGATCTCTGTGTTCCTTGTTCACTATGCGACATACTCGTGTGGAAATTTCTGTCACCGGTGTGCTTAGGGTCATGCCAATCCCAGTAGCATGGAACAAAAACAGAGTGGAAATGAACTTCAAAAATCAATTGTGAAAAGACCCGAGACAGGTCTGGGGATGAGTCCAGTCATCTTCCACCTCACACAGAAGCCTGTAGGCAGGTTGAGAAGAAAAAGAAGAAAGGCTGTTGGAGGGTTGGTGAGGGCTCCAGAATATCCTTGATCAAGAACCTGAGGGTGCAGCTTTTCACTTCATGCTGTGGGAACCTGGGGTATGTAACACTTACAGAGGTGCTTTGTGAAACTAAAAGTTGAGAGGTATGGAAATATTATGGTGTTGACAACCATCTGGGCACTTAGAGGACAATTTAGGCTGTGAATGGGAAACTGTTCATTTGTCTAGTTGAGTAAATTAAAATTCTGTGCACATTATTCCAAAGGAGACTTTTTAAAAAAAATTCAAAAAACCCAACAGATCTTACTTGGAACTGTCTGCAGAAATGGAGCCAGCTCCCTGCCTGTGTGCATGTCTGTGTACTGTTCTCTCTAGGGGAGAAAATGCTAATGACAAAGTGTATTTGAGATATGTGCTCTAGAAACGTGGTGTCTGGAGCATGCCAGCGCTACTTGGAAGCAGTATGAGGTTATCTGGCAGCACCATGAGCTGGCCAGAGGCTTTTAAGACTGCTTCCTCCATCTTCTGCTGAGTTACAGTAAAGCTGGTCTTAATACCCACACTGGGGAGGATGGGGACAGAAGCAAGGCGTTAGACAACTTGGCCTTGGTGTCTTTTGACCTTTGGGAAGCTTTACGTGACAATCTTAACTCTAAACGTGCATGCATGGAGCTGTGTTATGACGTGGAGGGTAAGCTGGCAGACAGTGTGTTGTCTCTTGCATTTAGATATCGTGATCTTGACCTTCTACTCTGCTCCTGAGAACTTGGGTCTACATTTTTTTGCTGATGTTTTATCCTTATTCCTATTTAAAGAAGATCCAGGCTGCAGCTGCCAGCAAGCTTAAAAACTCTCTCATCCTAGAGCATATTTCTGGCAGAAGCGGTCTTGACAAACTAGGTCTTGGGTCTGTTTCTCTTGGCTAAAGGAACTTGTCAATCCAGAAATAAAATAAGTAGACTTTATTTAACTTGCTGGCAGTTTGACTTGGAAGGGGGTCATCAAACTTTTTGCTTTGTTATTTCCTGACTCTCATTCATTCACACATGCAGCCTTGGAAGCTCGAAGTCAAAACAAATATAACAAAAAATGAAAAGAAAGCTCAGAGTCTCTTTTTTTTTTTTTTTTTAAAATGTACTTAAAATGTGATGTATCCTGGTATTTCTTGATTTGGATTCTTGAAAAGCGGTATCTTTGCTTTTGTGGATTATGGAACATTATTACTTCCTTTTTATTTTTTCCTATCTAAACCTAGGAGAAACTGATTCTCTCCTCCAAAACAAAAACAACTTCCAATTTTCTGAGTATGAAGTTTTTTGACTTTTCTAGAAATGACACTGCAAAAAATTGTGGACTCTAGACATGAACCCTAAACTTTCCTTGGAGGAAACTGAAGATGTATCTGCTCCCCCCACCCCACACATGCTTCTGCAATTATGAAAACTCATTGTCAGGTCCCTCAGAACAACCTCAAACCCAAACTTTGAAGGGCTCGCTCTTCATGCTGGGCTATCAGACATGAAAACCAACCCACCACGCATGACTTGCCTTTTGTACCCCCTCCAGTTCTTTTTTTTGTGTACGTTTGAGCCTTTCTGCAAATGGTACAAATGCAGAGGTACAGATGTTGGAGGGCCAGCGAGGACAGAAAAAGCAAGCTTTGCCTGGAAAGCGACTGCCCAGGATGGAAATGCTGTGCAATGAGGTTGGGGATAAAGCTCAAGAATCGGAACTGTTCTGACCAAGACTTTTAAAAACGATAAAATTGGGCAGGCTTTGTAAGAGCTGCTTATTCTGAGAGAGCTTTGAGAGAAAGGCAAACAACGTCGAGGCACACCCAGCGTGCTCGGAGAAAGGCTGCTTTTCCAAGTGGGTGGAACACTTTGAGTGCCAGCTCAAGACATGACTTATTATGAGGATTCAAGTGCCTTTGTGGCTCAGATGCCCTGGCGTTTATCATTCCCATGTGCTCCAGATCGCATGCTGATGATTATTTTTTCATAAACTTGAGGTATATTACATACACAGCTTCTGTACAGGCTTCCTCCTGTTCATCACGGGCTTTGGCAGCAGCAAATATTGTAAAGCTGTGTTTCAGGAGGACTGGGTAGTTTGTCTTTCCCATCTGTGTAGTGGATCTTCCATTTCAATGAATAGAGGAGCAACTCCACTGGTATGTGAGGGTGCTTGATAGTCTCTGACTTGTACCAGGACAGATGCTAGGCAGTTTGTCAGCTCCCCCCTTCACTGCGCTCTCTCTAGGCATCTCCCAGGGAGGACTAGGCTGCCAGATGAGACTTTCCTTTGCCATCTTAAGATCTCTTTTGCTTGCGCTGGGGACTTGCTGTAGGGGCGGCTGTTCCTGGAGGATACCCCTGATTCAGAGAAGACTGGTTCTGCTGAGCTTGCTGCTAAATGATCTGTTATTCTGGAGTCTAGCTCGGGCTGGTTTGTTTTGCCCTTAGCTTAATCTTACTGCTGCTGGGTTATCTTTCATCCAGCGCTGTGTTCCCAGCTGGGGTGCCTCCTCTCGCAGTGCGAGATCATCTGTTTCTCCGTAGTTCCCATTTCAGGACATCTTCAGTTGTGCTTCTGTGAAGTAACCTTGAAGTTGCCTGTTGTCACCTGAAATGTCCTTGTTTGCAAAGAAAAGAGAGGCAAAAAGTCAGAAAAATAACGGGAGAGTTGCAGAAAGGCTGCTGCTTAAGACAATTCTCTAAATGCTGTATGTGCCCAGCTGGTACCGAGAGGCAGCTCCTGATGCGTTGACTTGTGTGCCTGCAGGGCCGTGCGTAGCCTACTTTCCTTGTGTCTGTCCTCAGAAATACTTTGATTCAAGAAAAGCTCGCTGTTAAAAGAGTTGCTGTGGACCTTGAGTGGTAGCTAGCAGTCTGGTCGTGGTCCTGAGTCCTGCTAGCTGGGCTCAGGGCGAGGGTAGAGACCCTCCAGGGTGCTGCTCCGTGTCGTCACGGCTGCAGGCACAAACTTTCCTGCCTTGAGTTGTGCCTGTCCTGGTTGCCAGCATCATTGTCCTGCACCTTGAGAGGTGACTGGGAAATGAGTCGTGGATGTGGGTAGTGTTTAGGGAAGATGGATGTGGGCCTGAAGATGCAGTAGGTACCTCTCTTTCCAGAAGAAAGGGCAGGGGGAAAGGTCCTTCAGTGGGACCTTTGATCTGACCCTCTGGGGTTTGGCAGCATCGCTGTACTGTATTTGTTCTCTGACAGTGCAGCAGTGACAATTAGCAACACCAGCTGCCTTCAGCAAAGCCCAGCGTGGATCCCGGTCATGAGATCTGTCCTCCAGAGGTGCTGTGTTGCTTATTGGCATCACTCAACTTCTTCCCCGCCAGCAGAGGGACAGACAGGTTCTGGAGAGGGAAAACATGCTGAAGATGGGTGTGCTTTATTAGCTTCGTCATGTTCTGCTACCGTCCTACCACTGAATGCATAAGGGGAAAAGAAAAAGACTTGTTTCTGCCTCAGTGAGTTTGTATCACATTTGTGATGGCAGGAGGTTGTGTTTTGCACAGCCTCGCTCCTCCGGATGCACAGTCACCAAGGCAGTTCCTCCTCCTTCATAGAGACTGCTGCTTTGGAAATTATTTGGGGGGTATTTAGTTGAAGATGTCCCTGCCCACAGCAGGGGGGTCGGACTAATGACCTTTAGAGGTCCCTTCCAACCCAAACTATTCTATGATTCTATGATCAAGCCAAAACAGGAGTAAAACCTTCCCTGGGTTTTACTCAGGGAAGTAGAACCTTCCCCAGGTTTTACTCAGTCTGGGACCCAGTTAGTACAGACCTGTCATCTCAATTTTTGCCCTAGCAAGCACACAAATAATGCAGCTGGAGCAATGTTTTGCCCCTTAGCTTTTTGGTTTCTGCATATGGAGGTGGTCTTTCAGGTGTGTCTCCCTTTCAGTTTGCCTACTATGGAACTTCCTGATTGCTCCTGATTTTCTTCCACCAGGGAATTCTCTTGGTGTACGACATCACTAATCGCTGGTCCTTCGATGGGATAGACCGATGGATAAAGGAAATAGATGAGGTAAGTTGAATGGAAGAACATGTGCAGTGGTCTATAGCAAAAATCCGTGGAGGTGCCACCTCTGATATGGGGACAAGAATGGCTCTGCTATGGAGAGGAAATGATGGCAGTCTGCTAATAAGCAAAGCAAGGGGATAAGTGTCTGCCCTCCACGTCTGTATAAATCCGGAGTAGTAGGAAAGGGCTTGGGAATGGCCAAGAAAGATAGGAAGGTTCCTTCTAAGAAGGTTCCCTCTAAAATGGACTGTAGAGGGGATAAATTAGTCTTCCTCACCATGTAGTGCTGGTTTTGGCAGTCCCTCTCGGTCACAGAGCAGTTTCTATTTCTTTGCCCTTCACTGCTGTTGCAGCTAAGCAGAGTTCTGGTTGTAGGCTGCTCTTACTAAGGTCAAGCCATGATTTCTCCACTTCGTTCCTTTTTTCAGCATGCCCCTGGTGTCCCTCGGATCCTGGTGGGAAACAGGCTTCACCTCGCCTTCAAGCGGCAGGTGCCAACAGAGCAGGCCCGGGCTTACGCGGAGAAGAACTGCATGACGTTTTTCGAGGTCAGCCCCCTGTGCAACTTCAATGTCATAGAGTCCTTCACGGAGTTGTCCCGTATCGTCCTCATGCGGCACGGCATGGAGAAGATCTGGAGACCCAACAGAGGTCAGTAGTGAGGAAGATGCTCCATGTGGGAAAGGCATGAGAGCTATCTGGGCTGAAATCGAGGATTAGGACTCACTGCCTAGGTGGGAGGTGTGTTTATTAGTAATTGTGGGATCGGAAAACACCTGACATGGAGAAATGCCTCGGGTCAGACAAGCTGAAGCTGAGCCACAACAAGCTGCCTGTACTAGCGCAGGAACCCGGCGGGCAGCAGTGAGGGATGGGCAGCTCCAGAAGGCAGTTCAGCATGTCTAGGATCTGAATTGCTCCAGGGCATCCTACACCTCTCCACTTAGTCTGGATGAGGCTGAGGGCAATTAAGCTCACAACTTGAAAGTACTTCAATCAAATGGCTGTGTGGGATGAATCCAAGCATAAGCATCTCTGTCCTTACTCTTGCCTGAGCCTGTGTCTCCTGTTTTGGAGAGACGTGAAGAGAATGAGCCCAAGGAGCTGAAAGGGACTAAATCACATCCCTGCTGTCGGCACGGAGCAGTGGGCTGGGGTATTCCTTATATCCAGGCACATGTGCTGCAGTGCGGCAAACTGCGAGCAGAGACCATGTTACATCTCAGCCTGTTGCGTTTGAAGCAAAATAGTCTTAAGTCCCACGTTCCTGGCTGGAGGTAGCAGTGTGCCCCACTGGCAGTCTGAGCAGCAGGAGATTTGTACTCCGGGGGTGACTTGCCTTCATATGGATCCTCAGCTCCTGCTCATGAGGGAGGGAGAATCCTGTTTGCCAGCCCCAGTCACCAAATTATCTGCCAGGGCTTCTGCCCCTGACCTGCCTGCCGTGCCGCTGTCTCCAGCTTGTGGAAGGATGGAGAGCAGGAGCTGGGCTGCATTCGCAGACCTCTTCTGAACCTCTTCCAGAGGCAGGACTTGTAACTGCTGCCTGCTTGGGAACAGCAGCGTGGCTTTCGCGGCAGGCTGGAGGTGAAAGCGTGCCCTCGTGTGGCCGCTTGCTGGGAAATCCCCCCCAAGCGGACTTCCCAAAGCAGGCTCACATGATGTACGCTGAGCTGAGAGGACGCTGGGAAGCCTGAAAGGGCAGAGCCTTCTTCTGGCTTGGTGGGATCTCTGTTGTTGCAGGCACTCTGCAGAGAGCTGGCCCCCGTGGCTGCTGCTCTCCAAGCAGGTCCCAAGTGAGACTGTCCTGCTCCGGGGCTTGCTGACCCTGTTGCCTCCTTCCCTGGGCATGTCCTTCTGGATGCCAAACGATGCCCTGAAAAGCCAAGTGTCTGGCAGGAGTGTGAGCAAGGCACTGCCTGCCCCGGGCGCTGTGCGGAGAGGAGGGGTGGCGGAGTCTAAGCCCCGCGTTGACACCAAAGCTGGGGTGTCGCAAAGCAGTAACCTCTAAGGCAGAGCTTAGAGTTTCCCAAGCTTTTGTCCTAACTAATCTGCTCCCTATTCAAGGCTCCTATGCAATCATTATTAGCTTCTCTCCCCAAAGGAGCAGGAACTGCGCAGCATAAGGAATAGTTGTAGGGAGAAGGCAGCCCTTGAAATCTCTTGGCCCTTGACCGTCTGGTCTTTTCTCCCACCAGTGTTTAGCTTACAGGACCTGTGCTGCCGAGCCATCGTTTCCTGCACCCCAGTCCACCTCATCGACAAGCTGCCGTTGCCTGTCACCATCAAGAGTCACCTGAAATCCTTCTCGATGGCCAATGGGATGAACGCGGTGATGATGCACGGCCGGTCGTATTCCTTGGCCAGCAGCGGGGGTGGGAGCAGCAGCAAAGGTAACAGCTTGAAGAGATCCAAATCTATTCGTCCACCCCAGAGCCCCCCACAGAACTGCTCACGCAACAACTGCAAGATCTCTTAGCAGGATGGACGCGCCGTGAGCTTCTAACGTATCCACACCCACCCACCGATGTACAGCTGTTTGCACACTTAACCCTTTTCGACTGGATCCTTTCGGATGGGCCGCGGTTGGTTTTTTTTCCGATGGCGCACACAAGCGTTGGGAATGTGCTCACATTTTGGCTTCACATACGAAGCGTGGTGCTGGCTGGATCTCACAGCGCTGGCAGGGAGAGGACTCTGCCAAGTGACCCTCCAAGAATGCTTTGGGCTTTGCCTGTCGGCCTGGGGTGGAAAATTCAGCAGCTGCCGGGTTGGGGAGGGGGGAAGGGGAAAAAGCTCATCCAGTCTCAATGGAGAAATGGATTTAATGGAAGATTGAGAGGCTTAAGGGAGTAGGCAAGGAGAGTCTGTGCTGCAACTTTAACTCTTGGACTCCTGAACAGGTTGCTGGTGCAATAGTGATCATTGGATGTAGAAAAAAAAGAAACGGGGATAGGGGACTAATGACAGTTTTCACCGGGATGTTAACCTGCTGTTGCCAAAAACAAAGAAGAAAAGGCGAGAGTTGGCCAATTGGAAAGGGGAAGGAAGCAGTCTGCTTGCCTTCGTCGTTTATTTATGTAAATATTATACATATATATATATATATCACTTGTTTTTAAATGTTTTTTTTTTTTAAGAAGCAGTCAGGGAAAATTTTATGCAGCCATGTAAATACAAGCACTGGATTAACTTTCCCAGTGTCAGCAAAAGGGGAGAAGTGGAGGATTTTCTGACGAAAATATACAAATGCTTTAAGAGACTTTCAATCACCACCTGGGCTTGTGCTGGGTTGTTTGTTTTTTTTTTTTAAATACTACATATGCAGAAGGAAAGAACGATTCATGTGTAACATACCCCAAGCTGCTTTATTCCGATCATTCCCTAAAACTTGTGAGTGCCGAAGGCAGGGTGGGATGGAAGTGGATCAAGGGGCAGAGCGGAGAGGCCAGGGTCTTGGGGGTTTGTTTTCGGCAGGCAGGACGAAGAGGCAGCTCTGAGGTCAGACCGATGCCTTGCTTGCTTTGCACCTTCTGATGCGCGGCTGATCAGGGACTGAGGAGGAGAGGACGGAAGCATCGCGCCTGAAGCAGAGGGGAAAGCGCTGAATTTGTCCCTTATTGCTGCAAAGCCTCGGCTGTCGCTTCCAGAGCCCTCCATCCTCGACACAGCCCTCTGGACCCTGACACACCACCCCGTGTGACAGCCCTCGAGTCCTGGCTGCTTCTTGCTTTGCTTTTCCAAAGACGTTCTGCCTGAGCTGGCGCTGCTGCGGCTCCTCCTGGATGAAAGTGGGGAAAGGACAGAAGCAGCTTTTCCCACTGGAGCATGAAGGAGCAGGGATTGGGAAGGCGAGAGAGGTTTGTGTGGGGAAACAGCGGACCCCAGCCCCCAGGTCCCATCGTGGCGAATGCGCTCAGCTCTCCTGGCAGCGCCAGGAAATTGGGAAAGCAAACTGCTTTGCTCTGTAGGACCGCTCCCGGATTTTAGAGGGGCATGCGTGCTCAGCGGCAAGAGCTTGAGATGTGCATGTGCCGTGGTAGAAGATCCTGTGTCAAGCAAGGGCATGTGCTTCCCTGGCTTCGTCCCATGGCTGAGCTGTGCTGGAAATTCACCTGGAAACTTAGAAATAACACCTAGCCCTTATTGCAAAAGCTAAGCGGGGCTTGGCAGTGGGACTAAGCCGTGTCGACAGATTCTTGTAGGTGGCCAGGACGTGTAGATTGTGAGTAGCGTGGTAGAAAGTGAACTGCTTTTCCTTGTGCTGGGCGGGTCTCTTCCTCAGCGAGGAGCCCAGCCGGTACAGTGCTGCCATCTTCCTCCTGGTGTTAGCAACTCCTCAAGGCCTGGGCTCGCCCGTCTCCCCCTGGCTCAGCAGCTTGCTGCATTGCATGGGCAGAATGAAGCCGCAGCAGCTCCTGCGCGGCCGACGGACCCGCTTTGTTCAGGCAGCAGGCAGGGGCGCATCCCTCCACGGGGGACATCTCCTTTCCCTTGCTTCTGAGCCGACCTGGGAGGTGAAGGAGCCTTCCCCCTCCCCGCTCTGTAGAACAAAATACAGTACAGGGGTAGGTCTCTTGGCTCGTCTCTAGCGTGCTTTATTGCCCAGCTCAAATGAGCGAGGAGAGAATTAAACCCCAGGCAGATGGAGGGGGGAGGAGAATCCTTTGTAGTGGTGGTTTGGCTCAAGAGCAAAGCCGCAGCCGAGCTCAGCGCGGTGGCGCAGAGGCCGGGGGATTTCGAGAACCTGTCTGGGATGGCTGGCACCTGTTTCCCATCACTTAACACACAGCAGAAGACAATCGCTGGCTCAGCAGCCCGGGGATATACAGCCAACAGGTGATGCGCCCCGGCACCGCAAAAGTGACTTCTCCTGGAAAACATCATCCGGGCACCGCGGGGCCCCTTCGCCGGGCTGCTCCCGGGCACCGGTGTGCGGGGTGAAGAGGGACGAAGGTTTCCTTCCTGAAATCACAAAGCTGCTGCATGTCTAGAAAAACTTGATGTACCTCTGCTTGGTTTGGCTTTGCCACGCGTGACACCTCCCCACGCCTTTTTCCTTGCGGTTGATTTTTTTTTTTCACCCTACAAGGTCTCAACAGATCCTGTCCAGAGTGAGGATGAAAGATTTACCTGGAGCTTTTTTTTTTTTTTTTTTTTTTTATTTAAAAGGAAAAGATTCTTACATCTGATGTCAACACTAGTCTGTAGCTGCTCTCCAACACTTGTACCATTCCTGAGTTGTTTTTTTGGACTATCCTTTTATTTTTTTATTCCTTTGTACAGTCAATGTTGTTCAACTGATTATACATGGTTTTGTTTTGTATAAATTAAAGTGTTTTTTTTTGTTTTGAACTACCAATTGAAAGGTGGAGAAGTTGTATCAATTTTCATGTGGGCTGGGAAGAGGTTGAAGGGAAAAGGTGATAGTTTTGCCCAAAACTGGGGATTTGGGACTGCTTGTTCTGGAGGTGCATATTGCCGCTTCCTGATCAGCCTCAAAATAACTCCTGTTAACCCCAGATTGCATTTTCGGGGGGGTCTTAAAGTCGCAATTCCTGGCTCTGGGGTTCTTTTTGCCCTTCTCTACAAATGCAGAAGCTAAAACTGTTCTTACTAAAGGCTTGATTCTCACAGAATTGCTGATTCTTGGGGAGCGGAGCTCTAAGGAAACGCAGAGTAGCCTGCGACACGTTTAATGTCGTAGGTGGCTGTAGGAAGCCAGGCTCCCCATCAGCTTGCGTGGGATTGCGCACCATCCCTGGCACACGGGGACAGGTTTTGCAAGTACAGTCGAAGCCTTAAATTGCCTGGTTTTGGGTCCAGGCAATCTCGGGATGGGAGAGGACTAAGCGCTGCGGCAGTATTCACCCGTCCTACCTGGACTGGAACGAGCTGAAAGTCAGCCTGGGACAAACGTGACTTTGAAATGGAAAAGATGGCGCAGGGAGCTCAGAGGACCGGTGTCACCGCTGGGGTGTCACTGGGGCTGGCGTTCAGAGGCGTCGGCTGGGGCCGGGAGCCCCGGGAAGGGGTTTTTCTCCTGGGGTGGAGGGAAACTTCTCCTTGCCTGATCCTTTTCTCTCTCGCTCCCATCCCACCTCCCCTTGACCTCCCTTTTCCCCTGCCTGCTCGCTTCCCTAGGATCAGATTTTCCACTTCGTACCAGACTGGCCACGCTTGTTTTAACAGCTTAAGTAGTAATTGCCGGGGCTGGGAGGGGGCAGGGGGGAAATGAGATAGTGTCTGCAGCCTGGAAAACCCTGGAGCTAAGGTGAAAGCCTGGTCAGGGAAGAGTCACGGAGACTTTTCTCCTTTTTTTTTGGGGGGGTGGGGTGTCTGGAAGTGTCTGTTCCCTCCCGCCAGCAGAGCCGAAACAAAGGCTGTGTGTGGTTTCAGGTGGGGTACGGACAGCCGGAGCCCATTAGGCTGGAGCAGTAGGGGCTGCCTTTGCTGCAGCTGTCTCTGCTCTGGAGGAGCAGGGCAAGAAAACACACTGCACAGCCTGAAGCTCGGGGGAAAGGCTAGACGGACCTTTAAGGGTCCCTGTTCCTTGGAGAAAGGGGAGGGAGCAGGTTGCTCTGGGCTGGGTCAGGTCTTTCCTAGCTGGCTGCGTTTATCTGAACCCACCTTCTCAATTCGAGGGTGTCTTGGGTTGGTCCCGCTGTCCTCTGCAGGGTTGTTACCGTGCAGGCTGTGAAGAAATGGTGACCTCCATCTGCCTGCACCCGAGGTGCTTGAAAATGAGGATGCACCTACCCATGGGTGCATTGGTGGGGCAGGAGCCCTCCTCCCTGGGTGCAGGGCGTTACCGGAGGGGGAGACATGGCACAAGTGCCCTTCCCTCCAGGACGGGGTGCTGAGCCGCTTCCTGCGCTCCCTTGTCTTGAAGGGAGAAGATGAGCCATAAAACTCGCATCCATGTCTGGGATCTTTGAAAGTGACCCCAAAAAATCCCCGTTTTGGGGTGCAGTGTGTGCTTGGATGCATGGAGGCGAACAGTTCGGGAGAGGCTGAAGTTATGGCTGCTTTAAGCCTTTAGATGGTGAAAGTCTATAGTGGGCTTGGTCCAGGGTGGGGAGAGTCACTTTTTTTCCACCTTCTGCTGAAGAAGCACTAGAAGAGGCTGGGCAGGGGTCCCCAGGCGTGGGTGCGGGTCTCAAGTCGTTGGGAGCTGCATTTCCAACCATGCGGCATCCGGCATCCCTCCGGCCGGCCTTGTGCCGCCAAGGCAAAGGTTCCCGGCGGGCGCTTGTCCCGGCCTCGCCGCTTTTGATCTTGGTGACACAGGGATCTCAGGCCCCCGCGTGAAACACGGGCCACCCCTCGGGGGCTGCTCCCCTGGCTCCGGAGAGGGGTCAGCAGGGCAGGAGCCGACCCAAACCCCAGCACTGGCACCTTCTCAGACTGTGTTGCTGTGACCAAATGGACCCCAGCGTGGGGATGGGCGAAATCTGGGCTCCAGTTTTTCTCTTCCCCCCTTCCCTTCCCTCCTGCAGCAGCATCCTCAGAAGGACCCTGGGGCACCCCGAAGTGGCTCTATGCCCCCAGGTTGCATCCTCGGGGAGCAAGGTGCCATGGCAGCCTGCAACGCTGCCTCCCGGCTAGACCGAGGCGGGTTTGGGGGTCGGGGATCTCCATGTGTAACACTGCTGCAGGCAGCCGGGCGCTGGCAGGGCCCG